GTTGGGGCTGTTCAGCCTGGAGAAGAGAAGGCTGCGTGGAGACCACATAGCTGCCTTCCAGTATCTGAAGGGGGCCTATAGGGATGCTGGAGCGGGACTCCTCATCAGGGATTGTAGCGATAAGACAAGGGGGAATGGGTTCAAGATAAAATAGGGGAAGTTCATGTTAGATATAAGGAAGAAGCTCTTTACTGTGAGGCTGTTGAGGCTCTGGAACAGGTTGCCCAGGGAAGTGGTAAATGTTCTATTCCTGGCAGTGTTCAAGGCCAGGCTGGACAGAGCCGTGTGTGATACGGTCTAGGGTGAGGCGTCACTGCCCATGGCAGGGGAGTTGGAGCTAGACGATCTTAAGGTCCTATCCTACCCTAACCATTCTATGATTCTACGATTATTGAAAATGTAACAAATGGAAATAAGTCTGAAATCTGAAAAAAAAAAAGGTTAATATTACTTTTTACAAATCCTTAAAAGAAAACTATTTAGATTACTCTTGATAATATTAGACTCAGCTAATTAACCTTTAAAAACAGGGAGCAGGATAAAAATCTCTCCCATAGGAGCTGGCCAAGCAGGGACAATGTATTCCTACAATATTATACTTATTGCCAATGCGGTGAGACACAATCCTATCTGAAGTTTGATCTACATTGTATGTAACAATCTTCCTTTATATGAGATTCTAAGAATTATGTTTATTAAATTACAGATGAAAATGGACAGAAAAAATGGAGAACTGTGAATTAAGCAAATAAATCAATTTCTATTTTTCATTATATTTTTTAAGAATAAGTTTAATAGAATTTACATCCTTCTAATATTTTCCCCTTCCTCCTAAAACTTAGATTGATAAATCCATCATTCTTGTCAGCCTCAGTAATACGTTTTCATTGAAAAACCAACTTGATAAAAAGTAGCAATAGTTACATGTCAGGCCACCTAAGAGAAAACATATATTTCAAAGTCTGCTCTCTGCTCTTTTGAACCTTTGTAAGATGTGATCTTGAAATGAGAGCTGCACTAAGCTTTTTCTTAAATATCTGATCTGCAGAGAAAGAGTTCCTCTAGGAGAAAATCTTTTGAACTTCATATATTTGAATCAGCTGTTTTATTTGGAAAACCTGTAGAGTAATTTTGCTACATGAATTTGAAACAAAAATAGTATATATAATTCAGTGCTTTTATGTTGTTGTAGGAGGATTTCTGAAATTACATTTAATCTCTAGCTAAAGTTTCAAAGCTTGTAAGACTTTAAAAAATAGTTCACATTCCTGCAGTTTTAATTGAGCTGTATGTGAAGTTTTACGGAAAAGGAGAATTTTGGAACAATAGTGTCCAACTTATCAAAGGTAGTTTGATAACATTTTATTTAAGGTTAACAACAATAATTCTCATATCATCCTAACTTGAGAAAGAAGCCAACACATAACATTTTTGTTATTGAGAAAATGGTTCTGTACCACATTCACAAATAAATGTCATTGGAAGACTTCTTTTCATCTGTGTTATATCCAGCAATTTTTAATACATTGATTCAAAATATATACTAGGTCAGATTGTTCGGCCAGAAAACACTCTGATCATGTAGTCCACCCTCCTTCATGACACAGTCCCCTGGCCCTCCCTGAATTAATTACTGTTTTAAATAGTGGATGATTTCTAAAAGCAAAACATTTTAATAGACAGAGAGCTCACAATGCTCCTAATAGTCTGTTCTGATGGGTAATAATTTTTACTATTTTTAGTTTTAATTTCTCAAGCAGTAACTTTTGTTCTGTTTTTGTATGAAATGTTGAAGAGGTTTTCATTAAGAAATTTTTCAGTCCCTTAAGATTCACTGTGATCAAATCTCTGCATAAATTTTTCTTTGATTCTGTAAACAGATTTTGAGTCTTTGACTACAAGGCACATTTTCTAATACTTTGATCCTCTTCCTGGCTCCATTTGTAATCATTTTCCTTTGGTGTGTTCGCATTCACTTAAAAAAATTGCATTTACTCAAAAAAAAAAAAAAAGTCTGATGCTTAAATTACACTACAAATTATGTCTATGATGTTAACACAGTAGTCTTCATTTTAGCTACACCAGTGAATGTCATTTGTCAGCTTGATGACAATGTTAGTGTTCAGTTTTATAGAAAGAAAGGGTCTGCTGGAATTCTCTTTTCAGGAGAATTTGTTCCAGTGTGCACTTTGAACTGCTTTTCTGCTCAGTCTTTTCCAACTAGTCTCTCATTAATTCCCTTCCTCGGCTAAACTATATTCCAGTACCACTGGGATACATTTTCAAAAGTATCTAGCCTTGGTGTGATGCTCATTTCCCATAAAAATTAATGGTAAAGCTCCTGTTGACTTCTAGCAACAGATAGGAAGAAATGCCAACATTTCTGAAAGACCTTAGACTAAATTATTTCTTCTTGATATTCATAATACATTTATTAAAATCTTGCTTTAAAAAAGGGTGCCACCAAAGTATTGACATATTTCTGCCTGCAAAACATTGAGTTATTAGCTCAGAAAGCAAATATGGATATATATATCAACACAATTGAAGTAACAGCCTTTAAATTGTTAAAATCATGCTATGACTTAAATAACTGTGAGTCATTTAAGCTCTCTGAGCCCTCTTTCTCGGGGCAAATGAAGTTTCAAATTTGCTTTGAAACCCTTCAGAATTTATTTCTATGGGAGACTGGATAATGTAAGGATTTTTGAATAGAGTTAAAATTTGCTCTTAGTTCAAAGCAGTTTTTCATAAATTGTGTCAGTTATCCACAGTTCATGGTTATGCCTTTAAATTTCCTCTTGCCTCTTCATTAACTGGAGACAAACCTACTCACCATGTAGAATGGAGAAAATAAGTTGTCCTTTAAAGATTCTAATCTCAGACCAGAAAAATGGGCATCTGGTCACTGTAAATGCAACTTTCTCAAAGAAAAAAGTAAAATATTAAAAACTTCTACAGAGGCCACCATGATTCCAATTTTGGCTTCTCTGGAGGATGCATTGCCAGAGCAGGGAATATGTAACAGTCATGCATTGCTGAGGAAGCAGGTCAGAAAAGTCTAATATATTTTCCTGTGCATCATACCATGATTTACAACTCGTAGGTGATTTTGCGGGAAAATATTCAGAGGATGTAGTAATAATGAAGAACAATCTGTCTTCTTTTAATCACTTTTCAAAAAGCTGTAGGCTGCTGCTAGGCCACCCTTAGCCTCCTATTAACCCAGATAAACAAGAACAGCTCTCTTAGTGTCTCTTCACAGGTTCTGTGCTTTAGGTTTTTGGCCATTTAGTAGCATGCTGCTGGATGCTCTTCAGTTCCTTAACATCATTCTTGAACTTGGGGGCCCAGACGTAAATGTAGTAATTCATATCAGTGGGAACTTATCCATTGTATCTTATTCCCAATAAGAAAACAACTGGCTTATACGCTACTTGGTGTCTATCATAACCTTCAGGCGCTTCTCAGCAGGGCACATAGCAGCCAGGCTGTTCACTATTCCTTTATTTCAAATTTTAAAGTATTAACATGACTTTGCACAGGTTTATTTTTTGATTTTTTTTTTTTTTTCCAGTCACACATTCCAGCACAGAAGTATTTAAAATAGAAATCTCAAAAAAGAGTACTGGAAAGCAAGTACATAAATAAATGAATACTTCTGTGGCATTCATTGTTGACAAAACTGTATTGCCTACACTGCTATTAAGGGAGGTAATGGCTGTAAATGGCACAGTAAATTGCATTTTAAGGAATTCTTCATTCTTCAGTGTGGTGAGTTTTAAGTGAGATTCCATATTTCATAGTTGAATATTTTTAGTGCCTCTTGAGCCATAGTTTAAAATCATATGCTGTGCTTTTGAGTCATTCGGATAGATTTCCATTGCTAGTTTGGAACCACCCCAATCCAAGAGCCCTGTGATGATGTCTAGAAAAGTAGGGGAGCTCGGAAGCTTGCACTGTGCCTTTTAAATGACTGAAGAATTTTGTAAGAAGCACGAGCAGAATCTGATATGAAAACTGGAGGCAGGATACAATGTCTCTGCTAGCATACATCCTTTGAGGTTGACCTAATCTCCCAGGCATGTTGAGATAAGTAAGACATAATGGCCTCTAATATGCAACATGTATGTTTTACACGTTTCAGCAGTGGACCTCCATGAACACATTTGCCATCTGTCACCTTTGAACATTCTTTGTCCAAAGACCCACAATGTATGTGGTATGAGTTTTGGGACTACTGATTATATGAAGATTTGATATGTACCTCACAAGGTCAAAAGGCCTTTTTTTTTCAGAAATGTGCATATCATTTGCATTTTTCAGAGGAGATAAAACCATAAGAACAGACATTTACAGGAAAGAGGATTTTGTCATATGACACATAACCCCATCGTACAGAGGAGTTTTGGGAAAATTGTAGGGTTTCCTTAGCATTTCAAGGTCAATATGTTCTGTAGCAGAATGTTTTCTTTTTGGTTTTAACTTCTAAGACTCCCTGATATCAGTTTGTACGCTTCCATTTCTTTGCATTAAAGATGGTTTCTTTCTGTTTTCTCCTGAATTTCAAGGGTATCATTCTAAAGTCTTCTTCTTATGTTACTGCAGGCTACTTCAGCACAGTATTTAGCAGATTGTCCCCTTCAAATTATTACTGGTATTTCAGGAAATGCTTTCTTGAATTGTCAACCTAAAGTTTTGAAAGAAAAATTTGATATTAGATACTATAATCTTTATTAACACCAGCTTTATTATTTTGGTGTACTTGCTGATTCTCTGCAAGTTACAGCATGTTATCAACTTAGAATCAGGAGAGATTTCACAATCTGCCATTGAAATAGCTTCACTTGAGAGCCAATGTGTTATAATTTATTATTCAGCTATCTCTGATGTAGAGTTACTTGGAACATTCATTCTGGCATTCTTCTTAGCCTATGGATTCTGAAATTACTAAAAAAAATTTAGAGGCATCCAGAACCAAAAAACAGTGTCATGGTCACATTCAAACCACAGGGTCTGAATCTCCACAGTTCCTCCATTTTTAAGTTGGTGACACTTCATTTGAATCAGTGGTGTGATATCCTGGAGAATCAGGATGCAAAGGGTTAGCACAGAACCTAGCTTTAATTAATCTTCTTAGTGTTCTGGAGGTGGAAGCAAACAGCTCATTAACAGAATTTGCAGATGCTAATAAATTGAGAGAAGTTATGTACCCAAGGGAAGACTGCAAAATAATAAAAGGGCATCCAACAGGGGTTTAAAATGTGGACAAAAAATAACAATTTATCTCAGGAGAGCTTATATTAATACAGCACAGAAATAGTTAAAAGCACAAATAAGAATACAAATTAATTCCATAAATTAGAGAATGAGACATTGTATCAGCAGAAGAGTATTTTTTTCTCTAAGGTATTTGGAAAGAAAACCAGGAAACAGAAGAGTTTGTCACCAGTGATAGGCAAAATAGGTAGGCAAAGTGGATAATTAGAGGCATGATACAATGCTTCTGCTTTAAGGGTTTTCAGTGAGCTGATGAAGTCTCCAATTCACTATACATGCTCAGTTAGCTCCAGCACTGGATTTTCCACAACTTCGGTTGTCTAAATGTTCTCATTCTTTAATCAGTCTTGCTGTATGGTGGCTGGGTTTAACCCTGATGAAAATGTGTATGACAATATGAAAATTGGAATTTGAAAATGTACAGCCTGTGTATGCTTGTTGTCCTTTATTTATTTTTATGTATTGGTAAAGTTAAGAATTCTGACAACATAAGAAAATAAAGAAACGAGCAAGTATTATACCGTTTTGGCCTATCAGGAAATCCTCACAAAGCTATTTCAGTTTTTTAACAAGTTTATTTACAGAAATACATAATAATGTTTTAAACTACATGTTTGGATAAAATAATTCCTTGTATTTTCTGTCTTTGGACCTCAGTAGCTGAAGACATTTATGTATATATATTAAAAAAAAAAAAAGTAAAAACAATGATTTTAAGAAAATTATATTTGTTTACACACAATTTTTATTCCTACATTAGGTTCTATGTTTCTTCACTGTGGGGAATATTAGACACACTGAGAAATAAAAATTGTACTGCTTGCTTTGGCTAGCTGTAAAGACACAGTCATGAGCTCATCAGGACATAATGCCATTCAGATGTGAGCCTGAGGTTTGCTAAACATTGCCAATGACTTTTAAAGCTAATCCGTATTTCTTTTATATTTAGAAAGTTAAAAACATAATTAAAAACTTCAGTTTGTTTAGCATATTGTTCAAACATAATACAGGTCACTATATACCTGATATGTTTTGCAGCAGCGTCTTCCCTTCAGTACTTTCTTACCCATGGCACTTTTCTTCTTGTTATCCTTTCTCCTTGTTTATTTGTTCAATGTTCATATCAAACCCAAAAATGTTCCTTTCTATTCCCAATACAACCATTCTTCTTTCTCTTCTGTCCGCCTTTCTGTTAGAATGATGGTTTCTGCAGTAGCCTTTCTTCTGCTTTTCCCTTCCTTCTCTAATTGCATTGAGGACTATTTGGAATAATTCCCTCTGTCTCTAAAGACTCTTAAAGATCAGATTAGTTGATCACCTCATCATTTTTGCAGTCCCTTAGTTGGAGGTGGCCTAGGGCTTATTTTGAGCTTGATTCAATATGATGTTCTCTTGTTATTGCCACTCAAGCATATGTATCACAGCTGTGAAGCTGCAGAACATGGAAGTTTTTGGCAGCTTGCTTTGCATTTGAGGATGATGAGATAAAAAAGCTATATGAGATAAAAAGGAGATGTAGCATCCTGAGACACGAATGATCACATATGGGAAAGAAGTAAAGAAAATAAAGATTGTGTAGGCTTTAACTTCAAGTGCAGATTTTTGTGTATCTGATTGCTTAATGATACACATCTGTGAAATCAGCATTGTATGCCCTCTGAAAAAGGGCAGTTCAATTTGTTGATGTTATTGTGGTATGACAGAGCACGATTTGATCAGCATTTGTACAGTGCAATTGAACTCAAGAAAAATGAGGAATACTGAAAATATGTAGGTTTTGTAGACAGACAGAGGAGGATGAGCAATGGAATGGAATTTCAGCTAATGTGTGTGGTATGTCCGGAATCTTTATCTGAGATATAGTATTAAAATTGAATTTCTCAGAAGAAATATAAGACTGTCAGAGAAACACCACTGGCAGCATGAGAAAAACTAGTCATTACCTTCATTCCGTTATTTATCTGCTTTACAAGCATAAATCAGTCATTATGCTTTATCACAAAATAGCTAATATGACACTTTCCCCTATTCAATTCCACAGGTATCCAGTGAGACAATCTTCTTGGCTGTCAAATAATGTACCTTAGAATTGCTTAGGGTCAGGATCCCCTTCTTTCACCAAATGGAGTCCTCTCATTCATCACTCTAGGTCAGGTCATCCAAGTAGTGCTGGTGGGCATCCTTGGCTGGCTTCCCTGCATGGCAGCTGCAGAGTTCTGGCCATGATTAATCATGTTGCATTTACAGTGCTATATTAATTGTTTTTATTCACAGCTGAAAAAAACTTCAAAACTGTTAGGTATCTAACAGGACACAAATTGCCAATTTTGTTTCTTTGTATCAGAAATAAAAATTTATCAAGCAGTAACACTGCATCATCACAGCTGATGTGATACTCTAATCAGAGATTTGTATTTGTAGTTTAATATTGGCTCTAAGAATGTTACAGCACCTATTTTTTGTTATGATTATGACTCAGGATCCTGAAGATTATAAAGTATCTTTCACCAAATAACTAATATTGTTTTAGAGATTCCAAAATAAATTAATAACTAGGACATATCAAGATTTATGTTTAAGCTAAGCTTTCATATTTTCTCTAAAATAGGTTTTTATATTTTAAACTCTTTGAACAGGAGCCTACAGGATTTATTTCCTTCCAGTAGGTGCTCCTTAAAGCTTAACTCTCTCTGTCTCTAGCTGTCCTGTGGACAGAGTGCTTAGTACCATTCTATTGTATCAAATCCTACTTTGCTCATTTTTCCAAAATCCATACCAAAGCTTTAGTTTGTGATTTCACATCAGAGAGTAGTAAGCCTAATAGCTGTTGCCTACCATAAAAAAGACAACACTTTCTTCATTTCCCACCCTCAGCCACAGAGTCCTCCCATCTTCCTCACTGCTGTTCATCTGATACATGGTGGGTGAGTTGATAGTCAGAAATTATTCACTAATATCTTAATTAGTTCACTGAGGAAAGAAGGGTGCCTTCATTTAAAGAGAGCGTATATGGTAGGAAGGAGCTGCAAAGGGGAGGACAGAAATCTGTTCTGACAGGAGAAACCTTGAAACTCATCTTTAGCATCTATTTAATCCAGCAAGCATTGCATGGGAATCCCAGAGCATTCTGAATCACATTCTTATTGATTTTTACAGTGCCTTCATTGTTATTACTCATGATACTCATTGCTGAACGGCACACATAAGTGTGAAAAACAATATACAATATTATACTGCTTATTCTGCTTTAAGTTCACCATGATCTTGGCAAATTATCACTAAATATGGTTCTTCTCTCATTTCCACCTGTAAAATCATAAATATCTCTGCTGAAGACAACCAAATTATGGTGCTGTGGAAGTGGACTGAAGAAAGTTTGAAGGTGATGGTTCTTGGTTGGATATTACCCCTTGTATCTGGCTGAGGATTGAGTGACACAATGATTAAGAGCTGCTGAGATTCTTTTTGTGTGTGTGTTTTGAAGCTTCCAGACAAAACAAGTCACTTGTAGCCCAGGAAAACTATTCTCTGTTAAAAATCTCTAATAAAAAAACCCAAAATAACAAAAAACAAAACAAAACAAGAATACAACAGCAAAAAAAAAAAAAAAACACAGAGAAAAAAGAAAAATTGGTGTGTATGTTGGCCTTCATATCCTATGTGAAAGTTTATCTGTTCCTGAGAAACAAACTTCATCCTGAAGCTAAAGTCTCCACTAGATTTAGTGCATTGGTTCATTATATTAGTGCTTTTGGCTGTGTGCCTTGCCTTTCTGCTCATGTTGCTTATACTAGAGCAGATGCATACCCATCCCTCCTCAGCCTTTCTTCATAGGATTGTTTTTTACCATAAATTCACTGCCTTTCACTACTTGAATTAATATGTTGAGCTGTGAACTTCAGTGAATCAGATAACAAAGCATGTTTCCTTCTACTCCTGCTATGGGCCAGTAAATCCTGGTAGAGCACATAAGAAATGAGTATGATGTTTTGTCATATAGCCATTAAATCCATTGGCAAAAATCTGTCAGAGTTCTAAGAAACTCTCAGCATACAACCATACTCTCAGTGTAGTTTGGAAGAAACTGGGAATTCTGAGGCCAAATCTTCATTTTATAAAAGAAGGTATTTCAGATATTTTCTGCCATCTCATTCTTCTCAAATTTCACTAAAAAAAAAAAAATCATATAAAAAGACAGTGTATTTGAAGAAATCAGCCTATTATCCATTTATCTACATAAGGTCATGAACTTTAACATTTAGGTCAGCGAAAAGCACAAAAAATTTGTTTGCTCAAAAGGCATGCTGACTGGCACACTGCAAAGGATTTATTTTTTATTCAGTTCCATCTAATTGTATGTGATTTTATCTATTTCAATGCATCATATAAAAACAAGCAGAAGGAAAGTTTTATAGTATGGCATTCATCATCTAATGCAGTATCTTTTGTCATGCACATTTCACATTCTTTTTGCTGTATGACTAATACATGTGAAGAATTGGAATGTTTTAACACGTCCCTTTAGAAACTGGGATAAAAATAAAAGCTATGCAGTCAAATAAAAGCAAGAAATAGAACACACCGAATTTTCCAGTACATTTGCTTTGCTCTGAACTATCAGTGCCATTTGGTTTAAAGGCAAAATAATACAGAAGAAGAAATAAGAATGATCTAAGAGTAGGAGTGATCTACTGGAATTGAAGTTCTTAATATTTTTGGCGTCTCTACTGCTGACAAGGGAAATAGAATAGAGATGAAAGACAGGGTGTATGGCTGAAACAACAGCACTTTGATCTTAGTCT